CAGGACAGTTCTTCTGTAAATGTCTTTTCGAACCACACTTCGCGCAACCCGAACAATCTTTACGAAAATGACCCTTCTTCCCGCACGTGTAACACTTCATCACTTTCTTCTGTTGGGAATTCTTGTGTTGAAACTTTGTTTTAGACACCAACGCCGTCGTCATTTCTTCAACATCATCTTCTTGTTTTTGAAACCTCAACTCCTCCGTTATTAAACGAGTTGTTAAAACTTCAAGAGTCCTTTTCGTTTTGTCTGTTGAATCCCATGCACTATGGAAATGGTTAAATTTGGACGGTAGCACCGATAATATCCTGGACATCAGCATCGAATCCGGAATAGCACCTCCAAGCTTCTTCATCTTACTCGCCATTTGCTCTAGTTTTGAAATGTGCTCAGCTACCTTCATCGTAGAGTCCCATTTGAATTCAAAAAATTGTTTCTGAATCAAAGCCAGACTCTCGTCAGACTTTAAGTCATATACGCTATGTAGTTTTAGCCACATTTCCCTTGCATCTTCGCAATTCATCAACAGTCGTAACGGTTTTGGCTCCACTGTTGTCACAATGATTTTTCTTGCAACACGGTCGGACTTTGTCCATTTCTTTATCAACCGCTCGTAATCTTCATCTGTAGATGTAGGTTTAACGAAGGTACCATCACATACCTCCAGAGCATCCTCACTATCAAGCAACGTACTGATAACGAACTGCCACTGTTGCCAGTTGTCAGCATCGCGAAGTTTTTCAACCTTTGGCTTGTCTTCCATTTTTTCGCCAATGAGTGTACTACACGAAAGATACTAGTCACACCCCAAATAGCCCTTCAGTTTAATTGTAACACTCACTTGCGCCCTGGGCCCATAACCTGTTAAGATTTTTATTATCTTTATGTCTGTTACAATTCGACTGATCAAGAAAACACTTCTATTCTGCTGAACGTTTATTGAACGACTTAATATTCTTCAGTACCAAAAATGTTTCTTTATACATATCGATCTCGACCGGATACATAACTCATTCTCATAGACATAATTTTGTTCGCACTGCATGTATGCGATCGAGCGTCGCCGCCACAATAGTAAAACAAACAATACAAGAGTTTTCATTCTAAGAAATCATATAGTAAAATACAAGATTAACAAAACACAACAATTGATTAAATTTAGTTTTTCATTTCCAACAGTTTATAAGCCGAAAAGTGAACAAATATCCCCTTTTACATTCATTAGAATAGGTGTGTGTTTCTATAAGAGGAACATGAAAATCTACTCATGAACTTATCTTGTCGCACGGCTTTTAATTAATTCATTGAAAAGTTGAATTTATTATGATATTGTATTTCTTTGTATAAGCTTGTTATGTAATTCAGCGAAGGAAGTGAAACATAAAACTTGTTTTGTGTTTAATTCTCTTGACGCTACTTATTTAAAAGCATTACAAGGAATTGCTCTTTCTATTACATACGCATCGCTTCAATATGGCACAGTTTGCCTCTGTTTCTAATTGTAAACATTAAGTAGTCCATGGTTTGATTTTCTATAGGTCCAATTTAATACTGCGCTAAAGAGAATTCTTTGCCTAATAAATCAAAACGAAAATACGGGATAAACGTTGTTGTTGTTTTTAAATGTTTTCGGGTATTTTGGGCTTGAGCTTATTAACTTCTATAGTACAAGGTCTGTTCGAAAAGTATCGCAAATTATGTGTTTTTTCAAAAATTATTGATTTATTCATGGATATCTATTTAGTCCCCTTCCAAGTAATCCCTACCAGATATTATACACTTGTGCCAACGTTTTTCCCAATCCTCAAAGCACTTCAAAAAATCATTTTTTATGATCTTGTTTGGCTCTTTCTTCGATGTCGTCTTTACGACTTTTAGTTAATAATAGCTGTCAAAATGAGGTGTCAACTTTGACGTGTGATCTACAAATATTAATTTGCAAAAAAAAAGCGTTAAAACGGCCTTCCCCCGGATGTTTTCATGTAAGTTTTTCATAATTAGGCCATTTTACGTCGTTTCCAGCAAAAAAAAGTTGCATTTTCGAAAAAGCCACGATTCGGAAGTTTTACCTTTAATGTAGCGTAGCGTGGTCCTTTAACGGGCATCTTCAGTTTCGGGAACAAGAAAAAGCTAGATGGGCGCAGATATTAGTATCTTGTTTTTGGTTAAGCAATGATGTGCATGGTGCAAGAGCCAATTTTTGTTCTTCTCATTGAAGTTATAAGAATAAGTGTTTTATCTAAATTTGAAATCTGCTTAATAGTTTCAATACAAACAAAAAATTGTATCGTCGAATACGATGTACCTAATAGCAGATTTTTAATCAGTTTTGTCGCACAAACTGATAGTAAGTATATATGGCGCATTAAACCTGTTATATTTGCGAATTGGATTCGGCAGTATCAATTAAAATGATTGCAAATGTTTGCTTGTTTTACGTTTGTTTTGTTTGATTTTAAAAGGGCAGATGTGATTTAGAACAAAATTATATTATTAAATAATTTCATGAGCGTTTACATATAGGTACTATAAATAAATAAATAAATAGATTGCGGTTTTGGTGTTAGCCTTGATTAAATACAGGGAAAATGCCCATTTTTTGGTTTAATAGAGCAATTTAAACTTTGAGCGACCGAAATATTAAATTTAAGCAGATGGTTTTTGGGATTTCAGATCATGTTGTGATCATACGAATTAAACGTTTCGCCGGTTGCTGTTGGAATTTTCAATGACTAACTTTAAACAGTATAATCTTAGGAATGCTTTAGCATACGCTTTTATTTAGAAGCATTCCTGTTCTATTTTCTAACAACGGGGAAGCTTCCAACGTTAAAATTGTAGTTATTCTGTAAATGGGACAAGAGTTTCACATTTCAACAACGAGGATGTATAAAATACGAGTAGAATGTTACGATTTCTAGAATACACAATATTTCAAAAACTATTCATAAAAAGTAATGCACAGTTTGTACTAAATTGAAAGCGATTAAAATTCTGGATGAAATTGCGTAAAAACAACGGTCATTTTTATTAAAAAGAAAACATTAACGTTTATTGATACCAGATTAAAAAATCTAATGTAAACTGGTAGGTCAGATAGAAATAGTTCAAAATCTCCATTGGCTAACAATAGTCAAGAATTGGACAATTGTCGTTTAATCGAAATTTTAATTAATGATCATGAACCTTTTGGTGTGTTTGATGTGTTTAATAAATCAATACTGGGTCATACGTCTTAGGTCATAGTTCATGGTCCTTCGAGCCGGATTCGCATTAATCAATGCACTGTGTTTGTAGCAAGGGTTTTCTGTTGTTATCACATCCAGTGTAAATTGAAAAATTTCCACACCAATCAGCATCCATTTGTCCAGATAGGATATGATAGTGGTTGTGGTCATCGACAACGATACCATCGGTCAGGATTTGAACTGGTTATACCAGTGAATAAATAATTTGTTGAAACATTCTTTCTGCGTTTCCCTCTTTGTGTTCGTTGTTGAGGATATGGAAGAAAACATTACGGATACCGAGAAATTTTTGAGCGTGGAGCTTTTAAGCGCATTACCGAAAGTAAAAAAGTTCTAGCAAAATAAACGGTTTACGAACTTTTTCGAGTGGAAACGGAACGGTCCCTTCTTATTTTTACGAACTTTTCAGACGCTTTCGAACGACTTTAAATGCGTCTCTTATTCTAACAATCTAACAGCACAGAACGTCAAAAACCTGTCCGCTGCAGGCAGTCCCAGCCACTTCCTTCTACCCTTCTTCTTATTCGTCTCTTTATATCGTATGTACATTACAGTACGTAACGCGTATCTCTTTCTTCTTTCGTTACGAAACAACGCCACAGCTGAGCGACCAAATTTATATATTGCGGGATCAGAGGCAGAGTAAAATTTTGCAATTTTTAACAACTCGATGACTTTTATTACGAACAACTTTCAAACGAAGAGGGTAACAACATATAATACCGAGAAAATTTCCTTTACCGGCGACGAGTTATTGTGATTACTTTGGAAACAGTTGAGGTGTAAAAATTGAACTTTTCTGTATCCATTATTAAGTTTAGGAATTTAAAACGCAGCACTCATGAATAGGGTTGCCACCTTTTCAGGCTTTACATAAAGTATTTCTCGACTAAATGGTTCAAAAAAAAAGTACTCAGCATAAAAATAAAGTATTTTATTTGTTGTTTTTAAAAACATATNAGTTTTTATACACTCTTGCTTTTATTCCAGGTGAAGATTGTTCCATGGATTCGATTTTCTTCATGGTCACAAAGCCGTAAAACTTGTCTTCTTTTCTTTGAATTAAATCGTTTCTATATTGAATTAAACTAGCGTTCAGAAACATAGAAACATTCTCAAAAATATTGTATTGTGCAATATTATTGATGTAAAAATACTCTGAATTTCGAATAATCGCTTACAAAATTACGATGTTTACTTAAGGCCTTAAATAAAGTATTTTTGCGTACTTTATGTGTCTTGTAAAGTGTAACGTACGCACAGTCGAAATAGAGTAGAATACTTTATAATAAAGTACAGGTGGCAACCCTACTCATGAAGTAAATATGCAGGTGTTCTGTTGTTTCTAATCATAAGAAAAGTAAATTGAGTCCTTAAAAGTATCTGAAGGGATTACAGGAAATAAGAACAATTTTGTGGTACCTATAACTACTTAAGATATGACACTGGGTTTCCAGGTACGGGATACTCTGCACAGGATGCCTAATAAAAGACTTTCCATAATCCTATTTTGTTAAACATTGCTGAAGAAGCAAAACATGAATCTAAATAGATCTGTCTCTGTACCAACTACGCCTATTGGCTATTCTATTTCCTTCTGTGACATGAAAGGTTAGTTAAAAGTATATCAGAAATAGAAACAGGAGTAATGAGAGGAATTAGGTACTGTTGAAATTTCGTTAGGGATGTCAGATATTCCATTTAGAAGAAGAATAACAATAACGATAGTGATGATTAATAAATAATTACCTCGATTGATGGAGCAACGATGTGTCCGCCAGATGCGTGATGGTGCGTGGGCGTGGGACGGGGCATCACGTCGTGGAGGTCTTCGTAAATGACACCCGGAGCGTTGGGAGGATCACAGTTGTTTTGAGGCGATGTTTTACAAGGAAGGAAATTTTGTACTTTCCGTTTGTGCCTGCAACAAAGACAACCATTAATGTGATTGACAGTATCAAACAGGCGCATTAACGCTTGCTGCCTTCTCGAGCTCGCTCTCTTTCCCTTTTACAGAGGAGCCTAGTGGAGCGAGGGCTCAGGATCCGGAGTCATTCATCCATACAACGCCAACTACACTATGACCGACCGGAGTCGTTAACAAATGAGCTACGAATCGTTCAATCACAAAGGCAACGTGATTTGTACAATTCGGACGAATATGCAAACGTCAAGCATTCCCCTTCGACATATATCCAAGTCCACCACGATCGTCACGGAAATACAGGGTGCTTCAAAAAAATGTATACACACTTTGAACTTCCATAGAAAATTTATTTACCGTTCTACAAAGTTAAATTTCAGGAAAATAGAAAGCTGAAAGTCCAATGTAAATGAAACATAAATAACAAATGTTAATACTGTTCAAATTGGTGACCTACAGCATCAATACAATTCTGAGTACGAGTCACCACAGATTCTGTACATCGTATCAAAACGTGATACGTGAACCGGGATTTATGGGTAGCATCATTTGGTCGGATGAAGCCCAATTCAAACTTAATGGAACTGTCAATAGGCACAATTGTGTTTACTGGGGTGAAGAAAATCCTCACATTACAATTGAAAAAGCTGTAAATTTGCCTGGTGTAAATGTGTGGTGCGGTTTGTCTTCAAGGGGACTCATTGGACCTTTTCGATTTGAAGGCACTGTAACTGGTATTAATTACCTAACAATGCTTGCTGATTCCATATTTCCTGCCATTCGTGCATTATACGGTAATGATGATTTTTATTTTCAACAAGATGGTGCTCCGCCGCACTATCACAGGGACGTACGAGCTTACCTGGATCAAAATTTGTCGGGCCAGTGGATAGGACGCAGGGGGCCAATCGAGTTTCCAGCACGCTCTCCAGACCTTACACCACTGGATTTCTTCTTGTGGGGCACAGTAAAAGATGAGGTGTACAAACGTAAACCACGTAACCTAGACATTCTTTGGAATGAGATTCAAGCAGTGTGTAGAGAAATCTCATTGGACGTTTTGATACGATGTACAGAATCTGTGGTGACTCGTACTCAGAATTGTATTGATGCTGTAGGTCACCAATTTGAACAGTATTAACATTTGTTATTTATGTTTCATTTACATTGGACTTTCAGCTTTCTATTTTCCTGAAATTTAACTTTGTAGAACGGTAAATAAATTTTCTATGGAAGTTCAAAGTGTGTATACATTTTTTTGAAGCACCCTGTATATCACAGAAAGGGTGTGGATTCAATAAAAAAAAATCGAAACGAAAAGATGCTTTTATTATTTGTATTGTTGGCGCGAATCAAAGTTATTTTTACCTTATGGGGCTTTGAAACAAAATCAATAACTTTTAATTTTTTTCTTCTGTAGATGCTAACGATAAAATAGTACTTTTGAGTATAGTTTTAAACGTATTATTCTACAACAGTAGATATTTTAAGGTGTCATATTATGCACCTCGGTTCATTAAAAGCGGTAGAGTAGAAGTTGAGATATAACTTAATCTAATAACATCGACAAATTTGACATAACTGTATTATATATACAAGGGAGGGCTGAAAAGTTTGTAGGTTGACCCATATATGGCTCTACTAGTATCAAATTCAAATGACTTTTAGTTAGCCCTAACCTTCAAAAGACAGGCGTATAAATTTGACAGCTGTTGGACTATTAGTATCTGAGTTCATCATCATCATAAGGTCGTCGGTCCTAAGACTGGTTGGACACATACCTCTACTCTTTCCTATCCTGAGGTTACCCGTAAAGCTAGAATGGCCTCCCGCGTTCCTCTATTTCTTCTAAACTCAAATTGATCTTCCCCTAATAGTTCTTCCGCCCTTTTTTCCATCCTCCTTTGTACAATTCTAGTTAAGATTTTTGACGCATGGGAAGTTAAGCTAATTGTTCGAAATGTCTCGCACCTATCCGCGCCCCTCTTCTTAGGTAATATTACTACTACGTTCCGTTTATAATCCTCTGGGACTTTCCCCGTTTCGTACATGTGACTAACTAGCTTAAACATACGATCTCTAACCTCTTGTCCTGCATGTTTTAGAATTTCCCCCTGTATCCCATCTACAGCTGGCGCCTTATTATTCTTTATCCGAGTTATAGCATTTTTATTGAAAGAACTTTTGTTGTTTGAATAAGAAAGTGTTGGTTCACAAATCAACGAAATCGATGGAAAAAATCCATTAATTGGGCTTCGAATTGCTTCCGCATCCACCATACTCTCCAGATCTGGCCCCCAGCGACTTTTTTCTGTTCTCAGACCTCGAGAGGATGCTCGCTGGACAGAACTTTCGCGCCGATGAAGAGGTAATCGCCGAAACTGAAGCTTACTTTGACAAGTCGTATTATAAAAATGGTATCGAAAAATTGAATGAGCGCTATAATCGTTGTATCGCCCCCGAAGGGAACTATATTGAATAATAAAATCAAATTCTATAAAAAAAAAAAAATAATTATTTCAATGCTAGCCTACGAATTTTTCAGCCCGCCTGTTATGTAAGGAAATCCGCGGCTGATGCTTTTAAATAAGGAAAGAAAATGTTTTCTTAATTTCTTGAATGTTGTTATAAAAAGCGATCATAAAAACAAGAAAAAATTCACTTTAATTTATAAGAGTAAATTACTCTACATTTATAACTTATCTCATTCAGATGAAGAAGCTGTAAACGAATGTCATCTTATTACAGAGCACCTACCTTCTCAATTCCATACAATATAGTTAAAACTTTTCCGAGCATTAAAAAAAGCGAAGAAAAGCAATTCGTATTTCCGTTCTATTTAATAAAAAAGTTTTTTTTAGTTTTAAGAGTTTGAATTAGGTCTGCCCGAGTTGTGACGTTCTAGAACGTTCCCGAAATTTTCCAGTTCGCTTATTTTACATTTCCTAACTCTCTAGTTGACTGGCTAACGGAGTAATATCAGAATAGCAAAAGCTAGCAGTAAAGGAGATGAAAATACTACGGCTTTCACGGCCGATGTTATTATTTGAAGAGGGTTCGATAATGTGACTTGGTGCATGGACGTGGTCTACGATTGGCCTTTCTGCTTCGGTGAATAACCGGATACAGTTGTTTATCCACTGTTTTGTCAGTTGATGTGGCTGCAATCTTCAGGAACTAAGACGTATTAGAATCCTTCACTGAGCGGTCGTGTTGAGATTGGCAAACAAAGAAGGAGAAACGTTGGACTCACCGAAGAGGCGAGTCAATTCTGATGGACCATGGTCATCGTAATCGAATCATCACTACATAGTATAAAACAAAGTCGCTTTCCCGCTGTCTGTCCCTATGTATGCTTAAATCTTTAAAACTACGCAACGGATTTTGATGCGGTTTTTTTTAATAGATAGAGTGATTCAAGAGGAAGGTTTACGAGGGTGGATTGATAAGTTTCCGGCCTAACCAAGAGATGACGCCACTAGGCCTACCTTGAGGTGACATTCTATAGTACCATCCTTGGATAGCTTGTAGCTATAGTTTCAGCCCGATCTCCTTGCTAGTGTAGGTTTGACAGC